AAACACCAAATAAAATATCGAATTTTCCTCGAGAATTCTAAAAGACGGGGAAGAAAATTACACAGGAACTTTCAGTGTCCGTTCGCTTATTCATTCACAAAAAAATATATTCTTCTCTTTGGAGGACATAAAATTTGATCAAGAAACACCCCAAGTAAAATATCCAATTCCCCTCAATTTTCCCCGGAGATCCGTAAAAGACACTCGGCGAAGAAAATTACGCAGAAACTTTCAATGGCCACCATTCGATTAACACCGTTGGCGAGAAACCAAGCGGCCATCATCCAGAAACCATCGTGAATCCTTTGCTGCTCAAAGGCCGTATATTTGTCCGCCGCTTTGGCACACGTGTAGGCCACGGTCGCGTCTCTACGCTGCATTTACACGAGCGTGATCTCTCGCGCGAAAAGTGGGATCCACGGATTTAAACGGTGAAACAGCTTGCAGACAGCGTTCAGTATTTCTCGATTTCCCGGCCGGAAACCACCGAAGATGGCCATGCTGAGGAAGTGCAGCTTCGATTCTAGAATGGTTAGCTGTCTCTTCCTTACGAAGTTCCATATATTTCTTCAGTTTTTTCGTTACTTTTGCATTCCCTCGTTTCGTAATCCATAAATTGAAACGAAGAAGTTTGGAATACTCGATCTTCGAACAATTCTGTGTGTCACTTTGTGTCCTCTTAGTGTCTGATATATCATTCCCTTTGTTTTATTTGAGAGCTTCGTACTAGCAGAAGCTATTGAAAAATTATTGCAATACTTCTGTTTGTCCCCTGAAAAAAATTGTAAAACAACGATGACCTTTTTTTTTCTCTTCGCAGAAAGCCATGGCGGCGCAGCAACAGAGGCAAACCGTCACCCTGACCGGTATCTTCAACCACGAGAAGCACATGGCGGCGAGTTCACAATCGAGCATCACAATCGCGTCGAAAGGCGTCACATCGAAGTCGTCGATGATCAACGCGGCCAACGCGGTGAACCAACTGATGAACGGTATAAGACCAGCCGAAGATGAGCTACTCTCCTTACCTCTGGACGATCTAGACCTTCTCTGCTCCAAATCGAGCCCACAGGACGTCGATCGAGCCATCGACAAGTACTCGAACTTCCTGGACTGTTTCGTGGAACGTTTGAAGGCCAACGATGGAAAGAACGGCAAAGCTCCCTTACTACTAAACAGAGTGAACGAGATAATAAGAAAAGCCTGGGCAGTGCCCACTCATGGCCACGAATTAGGCTATTCCCTTTGTAACACTCTTAGAACACGAGGTGGTCTTGATTTGCTAATGTCAAACTGCGTGGCCAGTGATAAAGAGCTGCAATTCTCCTCTGCTAGATTACTGGAACAGTGTTTGACCACGGAGAACAGGGCACATGTGGTGGAACATGGTTTAGAGAAGGTGGTGAACGTTGCTTGTGTCTGTACAAAGAATGCCAACTCTGTGGATCACTCCAGAGTAGGCACTGGTATCTTGGAACATTTGTTCAAACATAGTGAAGGCACCTGCAGCGACGTGATCAGGCTAGGTGGGCTAGATGCTGTGCTGTTTGAGTGCAGAAAGAATGACATTGAAACTTTGAGACACTGTGCTGGTGCATTGGCGAATTTGTCTCTGTATGGTGGTGCAGAGAACCAGGAAGCTATGATCAAGAGGAAAGTGCCAATGTGGTTGTTCCCTCTGGCCTTCCACAACGACGACAACATCAAGTATTACGCCTGCCTGGCTATAGCTGTACTGGTAGCTAATAAAGAAATTGAGGCTGCAGTGTTGAAGTCTGGTACTCTGGACTTGGTAGAGCCGTTCGTCACCTCGCATAATCCCTATGAATTTGCTAAATCTAACCTGGCACACGCTCATGGTCAGAGTAAAAACTGGCTGGAGAGGTTGGTACCAGTGTTGAGCTCTAAGAGAGAGGAGGCTAGGAACCTGGCTGCCTTCCACTTTTGCATGGAAGCTGGTATCAAGAAACAGCAGGGAAACACTGAGATCTTCCGGATGATAGGAGCCATAGAGCCGTTGAAAAAGGTAGCCAGTTGTCCAAATGCGGTTGCTTCAAAGTATGCAGCACAGGCATTGCGTTTGATTGGTGAAGAGATTCCTCACAAGCTTAGCCAACAGGTGCCTCTTTGGTCCACAGAGGATGTTAGGGAATGGGTGAAACAGATTGGATTCGCTGAATGTGCACAGAACTTTGTAGAGAGCAGAGTGGACGGTGATCTGTTGTTGCAGTTGACAGAGGAGAATCTCAAGGAGGATATCGGGCTGACGAATGGGATCAGGAGGAGAAGATTCACCAGAGAGTTGCAGAACTTGAAGAAGATGGCTGACTACAGTAGTAGAGACACAGGGAACTTGAACAGCTTTCTGCAGTCGATTGGCCAGGAGTTTTCAATTTATACATACAGTATGCTCAACGCTGGCGTTGAGCGGGACTCGATTAAGAGTTTGACCGATGATCAGCTACTCACAGAGTGTGGTATCACGAATAGTATTCACCGGTTGAGGATACAGAGCGCTATCAAGGAAATGCAACACAATCAGCTAGGTTCCTCAGAGAATGAATCATCAGACAAGTCGTTGGATGTGTTTGTTAGCTATAGAAGATCAAATGGATCTCAGTTGGCTAGTTTGCTAAAGGTACACTTGCAGCTGCGTGGTTTCTCTGTGTTCATCGACGTCGAAAGGCTAGAGGCTGGCAAGTTCGACAACAATTTACTGCAGAGCATCAGGCAGGCCAAACACTTCCTCCTTGTGCTGACGCCCAAGGCTTTGGAAAGGTGTATACAGGACAGCGAGTGCAAAGACTGGGTTCATAGGGTAAATATTTCACTCAGTAAAATGGAATGATTGTTACTCTTGTTGTGGAAGGACGATTTATATATGGTGTATCGATTGTATATTTACAGGAGATTGTAGCAGCTCTACAGTCACAGTGTAACATAATCCCCATCATAGACAACTTCCAGTGGCCAGAGCCTGAGGAACTGCCTGAAGATATGCGAGCAGTTTGCCATTTTAACGGTGTACGTTGGATCCACGACTACCAAGACGCCTGCGTAGACAAGCTTGAAAGGTGAATTTAAAAACTTAGAGAAACCTAAGGAAGGAAGAAAGTCCCTTGATACTGATTATATGCAAAAATTGATCATTTGGTATGTTCAAGATTCAATCTTGTTTATACTTTCGTGTCTATAAAAATCATTAAACCTTACAGATGCCAAGTATTGTTCTCTCCTGTAAACAATTCCGTTTAAATACCTGCAAAGTTGCTCTCACTTTGTGTACCGAATTCGTTCTTGAAATAAAGGTCTGGGACATTTTCTTTGGTAGGTTTATGCGAGGAGAAATTCCAGTCAGATCAGATATTCCAAGAAGCATCGCGTCAAAAGACGTGTCGCAGCCTAACACACCAGGTAACACGAATATGCGACAGCCACCAAATTACCAGCGTATGCACAGCAACGAAAGCAGGGGTAGCGATAAAGATTCGACAGGGGGGCGAGATTGACTAGAGGGCCTGCCCACAGCCATACCGAGCAGGTAATTATGATTTACAAGAGAAGAGAAAACGCCTTTTAATCGAACTTTTACCAAAGTTCAGGATGCACCAAATCTAACACAATATTTCTTCTTCCATGCAGCCAGGATTAACAATCGCTCTAAAGACAATCAATCACGACTAGGTCAGTCGAGGACATATTAATAATATATTCGTGTTTAATTGGTGTCAGTTCATATTAGTGTCCTTCAAAAATTGTACTCCATTATTGTCTGCTTAAGTTTTATGTTATCACTGTACTTTGTTGTAATTGTCATGGTTCTAAGGTGTAAGCATGGATGTAATTGATCCTAGAATGATCTCTGATATATCATTTCAATGAAATTTCTCTTTTTGTACTGTAACATTCAGAAGAAAATCATTCTAGGATGAATGTGTGATATGTGTCCAATCTGAGAATAAGAAAATTTCTCGCAAGTGTTCACATGTCACATTTAAAGAAGTAAAATTAGGGGCAAGGGCTGCATGTCTGTTAGACGTAACTGTACCACAATCATTGTATCTATTCATCAACCGACATAGCTTAGGATCTACCACTGTTACCTTTCATATTTCAGGCTTAGAAAATCGTCGAGTCCGTCCCGTTGGTTAATGGGCTTACCGCCTACGTCTCCGCGATTGAAGTTCACCCACACGCACCCTGGAGGAAGTCCAATCCCGAGAAGACCTCCACGTCATCCACCATCTCCATCCACCAGGTCACGTTCGTTAGAGTTGTTAGATCAAGACGAGAAGAAATCAGTCTCGCCTGTCAGAGAGCCAGAGAAGACACAAACAAGACCAAGATCCAGAAGCTTGGACGGTTTGCTAGATGAAGATGGTATAATGCCAGACATGAAGACTGAAGAGTCACCTAAGCCAAGCAATGAGAGCAACAAAACTGACTCTAACACGTCTCTGGAAACTCTGGACAGACTGTCCGATGCTAAAGTGGAGGATATTCTTATCCAGGCTGTGCCACAGAGTGTACAGATCAAAGGAGAACAAGAACCAATTGTTAATCTTCATTCTGAAAATTGTGAGGATCAAGTAGCTAAGTCGAGTGAAGCTCAGAGTCCAAGACCAGTTCCTAGACAGCGAGTGAAAACCGCTGTGGAGGTAAAATCAGAGTCAGTGAACACTGTACAGCAAGAAGAAGCACAAAACTCGCCTAATCTCGAGGAGTACAGCGACAAAGAGACATCAATACGTCCATCGAAGCCGAATCGATTCGTGAACGTGGATGAAGGATTGTCAACTGTTGTCTCGAGTACAGAGGACAAGAAGGAGTATTCACAGACGAGCTCTGACAACATCGATCCTTGTGACAACAGCACAGAGTTGAAGGAACGTTTGGTGGTAACGGGAAACGATAAATCGACACTGCTCAAGGCGAGGAGCTGTGGTGCAGGGCTAGATTCCGACGAGAGCATCTCGTCCAATGAGTACAAGCCTAAATCAAGGGAGCAAGGCTCGTTGCTCTCGCTGCCTACGGGGGCTGAGCCAAAACGAAAGAAGAACTTTATGGACAAATGCGTGAACAAGGTGCGGTCTTTCATGAGGAAGTAACTCCGTTAATGGAGTTACGGTGATACAAAGACTTATTTAATTTTACAATGTTTAATGTAACTGTAGTAAATAATCGACGTGTTGTATCGATCGAACGCGGGTGATTCCAAGCTAAGCGACGGCTTAGCATTTTCACGAGAACCAAGTGTCGTATATATTCGCTTGTTATTGTCGTCATCGGTTCAAACTGTTTTTCTACTTTGTATTAGAAATGTTTTGTTTTCGAGATGTACAGAATCGCCTCGACAAACAGTATTTCCTTTCCCCCTATTTTTTTTTATTTCGACGATGTATCGTTTAAAAGAAGTGTACATACTTAGGATGTTCGAAGGAGAGAAGAAAAAGAAAAAAGAAAAAAAGTATAATATAATGTTCCCCCACGAAAGCCGATTTATAATGTTAGTGTACACACGAGAAGTATACACGATATTTGAAAAAATGTACAGCGAATTTAAGAAAGAAAGAAAAAAAATTATTGTAAAGCATCGCCATAGTAGTTAATTACGAGGTATCGTAATTTCTACTCTGTACAATGACAGGCAGCATAAAAGTGTAACTAATGTTGTGCCTATTACAAAGTGTCTTCGTAGAAGTTCAGAATTAGGAGATGCGAGATTGTTCTTCGATATACACGGACACGAAAGAGTAGCCTGCTTTTTCAGGTGGCTTTTATATTTCCTTATCGAATTGTATTATAGATATTGTGGCGGTTTTATGTAGGTTACTGCTATATCATGAAATAACGTTCCGCTTGCGGCGCGTGTCGCGAGTGATGGCAGCTAACCCATACGAAGTAACAAGAAATTTTAACGTAACAATCGGTTACGCTGAATATTTTATTGTTTAATAAGCCTTTTTACTGTATCACTTATAACTGATGTTATCTTACATACGTAGCAAGTTCGAACAAAATCCGTACGAAGTGAACCTTACGAAGCTTCGACATGTACTATTCTAAGATCCTGCCTGAGAATCGAGAAATGTATATTTTACCAAAGTTTCGTAAAGTAAACGTAAGAATTTTATCAAAAGTTTGAATGTTTCCTGTAAAATAAATTTTATTGAACAAACCATTACAGACCTAATTTTGTTATCAATGAAAGTATCTCCAGAATCTTTAAATAATATTTATTTGTCACAGTACAAAAATATAATACCTTTATTGATTACATTTCGATTATTTATAACAATAAGTTAATTTAATACATCAATACTGGAACTATCTTATTTTACTTTTGATTGCTATCATTTATTAATACGCATATTACCCTCTAAAATATCATTCGTAAAAAAGAGAAAAATTTCTATAATATACAAGCAATAAAACGTTAAATATCAGATATTACATTATAACTCTGAAATATCTACACTTATTTATTTATGACATCACGCCTTCCTCGAAGTCTTCGCACCAAAATCATATCATGTATTTTAATAGTGATACGCTTTGCATGATGTGCCATTAGTATAGTGTCTTCAAAGAATTCAACTAAATATGCTTCAGCTGCTTCTTGTAGTGCTTGAAGCGCCGTCACCTGTAGTCTAGATACAAGTTACAAATTCATATAATATTCAAAATTATTAGATTAATTTTCAAAATTCAAACGTTTAAATTTTTACCTGGTTATCTGCTTCCTTGGAAAGTAATCTATAATAATTTCTCTAACTAAACGAGCGAAACGAACTTTTGGTATGAGCAAATGCACGGACCTTCGTAAATATTTTATTTGTTGCAATACTCTATTAACTGGACGTCTACGTTCGTTTCTATCGACTAAAACATGAGTCTGTAAAACATTCAAACAACAATAATATTTAATATGCTGAATAAGGTAATTAATTTCTATTTATGTTTATTATATATCGCAGTACACTTACGCTAGATTTTTCACTGTCCGTTGTACTTATATTATGCCATGATCTAAGATAATAAAATTACATTTTTCGTAAATTTCATAGTAAAAACAGTATAAGTGTTAATATTACATAAATTTTACATAATAATGTTGCTAATATTAACTGTTGAATTTTGATATATACATTTCAAAATGTTACACCAACAGAAGCAAGTCTGAAAATTACTTTACAAACCTACACTCCTTAGAATATTAATTCCACGAAAGCTATTATAAATAAGTAAAAACATTCAGACCTTATTGAAAATATCTTTATTTCGGACATTAACTAACAGTATATAATGTGAAACGTCAAAATGAACGATGTCTATCTAACCTTGCATCAGATTTACGACGAACCATTTTTATTATCTTGCAGATAAACCGTAACACACATATATTTTTAACACTTTGTATTCTTTTCTCGAATTTGCACTTTATTTAAGAAAAATTATAAGTCGTGGATAATATAAAATGTAACGAAAAACACTTTCAGTAAAAAGGCGCCAAAATTGTAAGTATGGCGGGAATTTCATAACCTGAAATATTATAATGAGACAAACTCCCTCCACCACTCTAATGTCATCGTTATTAGAATACGGAAACTTTTCTAAACAAACAGACATACAACAAGTTGTACACTATGTATATAATTTTAACCTCTAATGAAATCATTGGATAATAAAAATTCGATACAATTTTTCATAAAACAATAACATTTTATTGAGGATCTTATATATGTACATCTTATTATCAAACTATAATACAACTGTATCTTACATTACAAGTTTTGAACAGTAAAAATAACAATCCGTGCCCAATTACGACTTAACGAGTACTTTCTTCAATTGCACTTTTTTTACATACTTATTTATAAATTTCGTTTTATGTTTTTTTTCCATTGACTCTGCTGACGCGCTTAATGTATCCAAACTTTTTAGAGACGGTAAACTGACTGTTTCTGTGATTGGTACATATTCTTTCTTATTATTTTCTCCTATTTTAGACCATTTCTTTTTTGTCCATTGCAAAAAATGAGTGTACTTCTTATTGTTGTCTTTTGAACTATTTACATTGTCAAATGAAGATTGACTTGAATTTTTTTCTATATTAAGTGTTTCTTTATTATCTTCTGACTGAAGCTTATTTACTTGTAAGGGTTCTATATGTTTTATATTTTTTTCATCTTTTTCATCTTTTTCATCTTTTTCACTTTTGTCATTTACATTTAAATTACTGTGAAAATTCTCCTTCATAGGAGAACTGTTTGTACTTCCGTTTATTTTACCTGGAGTTCGCACGGAATCCCTTAATTTTCCCCAGAAATCGTATAAACCCACTCTATTGTAATCCAATTTAAACATATAATTTAACTGTGGTGGCAGTTGACATTGCTTGTACACGCATGGTACGACTTTCCGTTGTCGTTTATCTGATAAAAATGTATATTACAGTATAATACTAGGACCACATAAATTACATTATTTAATGAATTAGTATCATAACTTACCAATACCCAATGCTTGAGCATAGCTCAGAAAGAATTTATTTGCTGAACTTTTAAGAAAATTGGGTGATACTATAACAATTAACCTGTTACACCTCTCTGATATTAGAGTCATCACAGCTTCATACTCAAATGTAACTCCACCAATTAAATCGCGATCTTTTAAACACAGCTGAAACACATTTATATTATTTCATTTGCATTTTATTACTTTTGCATACATCACTCTTGATTCCTTACCTTTAATTTATATTCATTTTCCAGTTTGTCAACCATTTCAGTGGCAAAGTTAGTGTCTTCATCAGCATATAATAAAAATGCATCATAATACTGATTTTCTAATCCTTCTCTTACCCTATGAAGATCATCTGTTAAAAAAAAAATACAGCTAATGTTTCTGAATTACTTCATATAATAATCTAGCACTGTACTTCATATTTCACTTGCCTACAGTAAGAACTTTTGCATCAATATCATTTGCAATTACTTCAGCTGATGTCTGAGACTTTTGCACTTGTTCCAAATATCTTTCAGCATCCTTTTCTATAATATAAACATCAGACAAAAGTCAGATAGAAGAGACTAGACTAAAAATCACACATAAAATTATTTCATACCAAAAAGTTCTAGTGTATCATTCAAAATATCCCATCTATCAATTTCTTCCAATACTGCTTGAAAATCTTTAAGTGTAGTATTTTTTTCCTTGTGTTCCCAAGCTGTCAAAATATAAGCAGATGGATCTGCATGTGAGATCAGCAGTGGCATTACTTCTCCACTTAAGTTGCATAAATGAGCAAGACCTCTCCAATCCCTAATATATAAAAATTTATAATAATTGTTAAGTGGCACTATGTATATAATGAAACTAAAGTAATAAAAAAAACTGATCAGATTACTAATATATTGTTAATTACCGTGGTAAGCCATTCTCGGATGGTATAACTTTCGGAGGATTTAATAATGTCGAAATAACTTGTTTAGATTCGACAGATAGAGCAACAAGTGGCACTGCTGACAGATCAACTGTCATTTTTTATGTCGTACCTAACCTCAAAATACTTGGAATAATAGAATTGTTTTAATACTCCGTCTAACACTGACTTAATGCAATGTATATTAAATTTTGACAAAAGAATAATTTTGAAACCGTATAGAAAGGTGAATCGAATTTTTTAACATTAAATTTATATTCTTTATTGAGGTACCATTTACATCGGAAAAATACATTCTATGTACGTGAATCTTAGTATTTCTTTTATGAACGAATATTATTTGTTCTCCACACCTTCTTCTAACGTCCCAATCAATTTTTTATTCACCTATTATTAGCATCCACTTCACTCGCTAAACGGGTATTATTCACGCGTATTTCGAAAGAATTTCTAGGAATCCGCGAAACATGATATTTCGAGGACCAATCAAAGCCTAACGTTTAATAAATGGTAGGAATTTATC